GCCCGGCCGCTGGGCCCGCCGGGGTCTGCTCTGCTGGTCCGGCCGGGGAGAGGGGACCCCGGGGGCAAGCCGAGCCGACCGGAGGCCCCAAAATGTCAGTCCCCGCCGAGATTTGTTTCGTATCCCCTCCCTCCCAGAAGATGGGAGGGCTGGGCTCAGGCCGCCAGGGTGATCTTAGGTGGGAGAGCCCTGCGGTGATGGAAACTTAGAAATGTTGAATTTTACTCATCGAGTTTAAGAAATGTTGAATTTTACTCATCGATTTTAGAAGCATGGAGCTGAATTTGCAAAAACACGCAAGCCTCCTAGCAGGGGAGCTGGGGACAAATATTTTACCGAGGTGTGGAAGAATGGATTGTGAGGGGGAAAGTGTCGGGGCTTGTCCCCAGCCGTTGCTCTCTGTGCGGAGGCTTTGGCCCTGCCATGCAGCAAACCTACCTGTTGCATGCCAAGCCACAGCACCGTCTCCCTGGAGGAGTAGTGTGGAGAACCCATGCTGTGCCTCTCACTATCATGGAAACAGGCTGTTCAGTTACCTCTGCTGGTAGTTCTACCATGGGCCAAACCTTTTCCATGCTTCTGTAGCCAGTATCAAACAGTTATAGAAAACTTACCAGAAACGTAGGCACACGTGCTGTGTGCGATGGAAGCCAAGCGTGCACCGCTTCCCCACCGCAGGTCTCGCCTTAGTGGGGAACAGATATGGCCCTAGAAACTGGGCTTGGGCATGACTCAATGCTCACATTTTACCAATCCTTCAATAATTTCCTGAGCGTTTGACCAGTGCCATCTTGTGGCCTTCTTTTGTTTTCTTTGCACAGAGGGTGGGAGTGAACTTGGGTACTTAATGTTTTAAATTTTGTTTGAAGGAAACCTTTTGCTGTCAGAGTAAGTGGAAGTGGCAGAGTCTGACATCACACACTTGAAGATGTACAGGTCCTTTCCGGTAGTGGAATCTGAATGTCGCTTAATAAACCCAGTCTAGCTAAAACTAGTACTGGCTCTGCCACTGGTAATGTTCTTTCTAGCTTCAAAGTAACTTATGTGTTTTCATTGTTTTATCTTGTTTCTGAGCAACAGCTTTCACTTAGCATCAAATACTTCATTTCTGACTTGCAACTAAACATGCAAAGCAAGATATTTCATATGCTTAGTATGTTATTTTTTCAAATGAAACTCTCCTTGTCTTACAAGTGTCTCATTTCCCTGAGAAAAGTCTTGTTTCCTAAATATATCTGGTTTTGTGGCATTTACAATGATTTTTTTTTTGCTGTCACTTCTGAAAGAGGTGAAAAGCTTAAACTGCCAAGTTTCTGTACGCATGAAAAAGTGTATGCTCTGCAGATTCATGCGTCAGAGAAAAAATGTTTAGAAACTGAGAACCTGGTGTACTTTTGTTTCTATTTATTTATGGTAGCAAGGAAAACTTTGTGCAATATGGTATTGTTGTGGAGACTACAACAAATGTAGCTGTTGTTGCTACAGCTTGCTACTGTTTCTGAACAGCCTGCAGCTGCCTTCCCAGCCCCAGCGAAACAGTCCAAAAAAGGTGCTACTGTGGCTTTTTAGGAATCAGAACAGAAGCTCTCAGCAATTTCTCCCCTGAAGAGTTTAAAACCATTTGCAAGTGGCAGCTGCCTTGGTGTGTCAAAGCAATCGTATTTGATGGCTCTCCTCTAAGCAGAATTCAACTGGCAGTGAGCAGTAGTTACCTGCGAGAGTCAGCAGCTCGGGGAAGCAGGTCCACCTCAGTGCCGTGCTTGAATCACTTGGCATTAAGTGGATTTTCTTCCCTGCAGAGCGCAAGTGCTCTTGTTAATATCTCCGGATTTGTTTGTTTTAAAGAAATCTAATGGTTTGTTTGAAGCTTGTGTGCACCGAGAGGTTTACCATCAATGCTAGCTGTGACATGAAGTGATACAGAGAGGTGATGACGTTTGGGAGAAGAGGAGCACTTGTGCTCAATAAAATTGTGAAAGCATGTTGTTGAGGCTCATGTTCTGGGCTGCCATTCAGATGGTTTGGGATTTAGGATTGTGTCCTGGGTGACTTGTTATCTGGTGTCAGATGCTCAGAAATTAACACCAAGTCATCAGGAGGTTCTCTAACAAATATTTAGGTGACGAACTTTGAAGGATGTCTTGCTTGCATCTGCTTAGGGTGGATGTTTTCACTGTTTGAGGTCAGTCATACGATGTTTGTTGTATCAGGTTTGGTACATGGAAAGTGCTTTGGCCAAAGCACTGTCAATTGCCCTAGCAGTACAAAATGGCTTCTCTGTACCCTACTAATACGTGCATGGGGTCGCCTTCTTTTTGCACGGTCATCTTTCTAGTGTGCTAAGTCTAAACACTCGAGTTTTCTGTCCCTTTGGGACTGTGGGAAATTGCTCCCTTTCTGTGGAGAACCTAGAAAAAAAATCATCACAGTGTGGATGAAATCCCTTAGGAGATTCCACAGGATTGATGGGATAGCAGGAGGTGTAATATTACAGTGCTTGTGCAAATAGCCCTTTTCTGCGGGCATTTCAAGAACTGACAGCTTTGGGGACCCTGGGGGGCTGAGCGTACCTCCCCCATTACCACATTTTCAAGTGCACATTTCTAAGTATGAGATCTCAGCTGCGGCTTATTCTGCCTGTGGCATTGTGTGGCATGCAGGGGTCTTGAGCTGTGTTCCACTCCTGGCTCTACCTTGGACTCTGCCTTCAGTCACCTCTCAACATTGTTACCCTTCCTGATCTCAACAAGAATGCTTTTCCGCTCTCTGAAGAACTCGCTGTATAAGAAAGCAGCAGTATTTTTTCTTACACTGGTTTCACTAAGCTGTTTCCAGTTTATGTTTTAGCTTTCTTGCATTAATTTAAAATCAATCATGATTGTTTGGGTTGTATGTGATATGCCAGCGCACAACAAACCAAAACAAGGAAGATTTGAACCAGTTCAAGAGGTTTATATGCAAAGATGGACAAACTTAAGTAAATTAGCATAGATTCACATGTCGGTATGGCTTTGTGTGTAAATTTAAAGTACACTTTGCTATGTACTTGAAATGACCAACAGAAAAGCTGGAGTTTTTTCACTTACTGAGAATTCTGCTAAATATTTCCAAAAGTTGTTCACAGAGGTGACAGTGCATGCAGGCTTTGTAAGAACAGTGCAAGTAGAGTTAACGTTGAACTACGATATTGAGTCTAACAAAACAGTTCAAGTTGACCTTGCTTATGAGACAACAAAAAGTGTCTTAAGGAGAAATAATAATTATCAAAGAGTAAAGAATGGTTTAATTCAAAGGCTGTTTAACCTCCGACAGGTCT